GCGCCTCAGCGCCGCATGCCGCTCGGGGAGGCAGGCCGCCGGGGTCCCTCTGGCCAGCTCCGAGGCCGCCGCGGCCGGAAGCGAAAGGCCCACCGCCTGCGCGCGCAGCCAGAGAGCCGCGGAGCGCCGAGCACATCCACCCGGGGCCTGCCGGGCGGGGAGGGAGCTCCTAGAGCGTCACGTCTGTGGGGGGCGGGGCCTGCCCGAAGAGGGCTGGTCTGGTCGGTTCGGGAGCGGGGCCCGGTCTGAGGGGCGGGGCTTCATCTGTGGAGGGCGCATCTGGGGGCGGGAACCACCTGTCCCAGGCGGGAGGAGACCCCCAGTGCCAACGAGCCCTCCAGGGGGCGGCGATTCAAAGGGACAGACCAGGGACTTCCCTGGTGGCGCAGTGGTTGGGAATCCGCCTGCCAATGCAGGGGACACGGGTGCCAGCCCTGGTCCGGGAAGATCCCACATGCCGCGGAACAACTAAGCCCGTGTGCCACAACTACTGAGCCTGCGCTCTAGAGCCCGTGAGCCACAACTAGGGAAGCCCACGCGCCTAGAGTCCGTGCTTAGCAACAAGAGAAGCCACAGCAATGAAAAGCCTGCGCACGGCAATGAAGAGTAGCCCCCGCTCACTACAACTGGAGAAAGCCCAAGCGCAGCAACAAGGACCCAACGCAGCCAAAAATAAATGAGTAAATAAATAAATTAAAAAACAAAACAGTGACAGCCTTGCCCCGTGACCCTCAGGAGCACGCAGAACCCAGTCCCCCACAGTAACTCGAGTCCCCCGGAAATCATGTAGATTAAGGTAAGCATAAGAGACTTTTCTATTTTTAGTTGATAAAAAGATAAGTATCTCAGTAAAAATAACAATGCATTATGGAGTTTTTAACAGGTATGCTAGTAAAATGTACGCGAAAATAGCAAAATGAGTGGAAGTGAGGAAATGGAAGTACAGGTGACCCTTGAGCAACTCAGGGCCACTTACACGAGGATTTTTTTCGATAGTAAATGCCTCAGGGCTACACTACCCTGGTTGGTTAGATCCACAGATGCAAAACCGCAGATACCGAGGATAGGAGGGCCAACTATAAATTACACGCGGATTTTCGACTGCGAGGAGGGCGGGCGCCCTTAATCCCTGCATTGTTCAAGGGTCGACTGTATATGAATGTATAGACCCTCCCACCCCCTACCCCCCATCCCCTCAGAGAGAGACCCCCCCACAGGGACACAGACCCCCCATGGCCCAGAGGTACCCACAGACACACAGCTGCCCCAGGACGCAGAATCCCCAAGACACAGAACCCCCCCCCCCCAGGACACACAGAACCATCTTCAGGGACACAGAGTTCCTCAAGACACCAAGCTCCCCCACACACAGAGTCCTCCAGATCATAGAGCCCTGCCTACCACCACCTCCGCCCAGGACACACAGCCCCTGGGACACAACACATCATCAAGTAAGGCTCTGGGCTTCCCAGCACCGCGGAGCCGGCCCATGGTCCTATTCCAACACAGTGGCCATGGAGGCAGGAGCGGCTGGCCCTAGGGTCCCCGCCCAGAGGGCCCTCTGGTCTCGCCTTTCATCTGCAAGAGGTGAGGTTCTTTCGTATAATAGTGTTTAACTAGTAAAACAATCAGAGAACCTTCAAAAAGCTACCATCCATTACCCCCATTTCTAAAGTGGCCCACAGAGCAACGATAAAATTTTGCAGCAAGGAATCAGGAAACCACCAGACAATGCTGACCAGCTTTGAGCCGCACAAGGCACTGTCCTCCAGCAGAAGTAGAAAGTTAGTCTCTGACGCAGCAGACAGGCATATTCTAGACCCGAGTGCCAAGTCCACTCCTGGGCTAGACAGCCGTCTTCGTGTCATCTCATCAGGCACAGAAAGAGCACCAGAGATTCTGGCACACACAGCCTGGCCACAGCGGGCAGGGTCGGATATGAAAGCTCCCTGGACAAGTCCCCTCAGGCTGATAGGGGCAGCATAAAGGCAAGACCCTGCATGAACACAGTCCAGAATGGGGCAGCATCCGAGCCAGCAAAGGCCAGACCGCATGCTGGTGCCTGAGCGGCTGCTGCTTTTACCAGCAACAGCTTTAACCTTGCTCAGTCTTCACACCTTCTAGATAGGAGTTACTAAGACAGCGATCCCGGAATCACCGCTGCTTCCTGAAAGCATCGAACACAGCAATGTGCTCTCCTACCACAAGTGCTAGTCTGAGTCCCTTCCAACATCCTCCTACAGAAATGTCCCCGGTTCTTGACCATAGGAGGTCTCCCTCATTGCAGTGAGTCAACTGAGTTCCTGGTGGTCTTTGGCTGACGACAGTGAAAGCACTTCTGGGCTGCCTCACCTAGGAGGGGTAAAGGCTGGAGCAACAGCAACTACGTTGGGGCAAGGTAGACTTTGGAACTCTTCTTTGTTGCCTCTGTCTTCCTCTCCACAGTGACTCAGAGGCCTCTGTACCTGGGCTGGTTCCACTGTTATCGTGGGAAAGTAGAGTGAAAGAAGCAGTATTCCACAGTTGAGTTCTAGACTGAGGCAGGGAAGAGAACGTAGGAATAAAAGCCAAAACTTGATTGGCAGGAGCCAGCCTTTTTTGAGAAGAAAGGTATGTGAGACTCCAGAGATCTGAAGAAGGAGAGCACAGACCCAAGTATTCCACTGAAGCCAGAACAGATGGAGCCAGACCCTGACCCCGAGTTCAGGCTGGTTGAGGAATGAGGGTCGGGGATCAAGGGTCAGAGGTGAGGAGTGGCAGGGCCAGTCTGACCCTTGCCAGGGTAGGGAACCATGTTGGGCACCCACTGCCTGTATGGAGAAGTGGCTCCCATTACCTACCATGGATCCATCTGCCCACTGCCAGGCAGAAGCATCTATATCAACAGCTGCCCTGTTCTGAGGCTTTGTCATCCTCATTCACTAGGTCACCATATTGATGACACACCCAGTGGAGGTCGGTGCCCCAAGGGAAGCGAGGCCCAAGGGTGTGTAGGGAGCGGGGAGTGAACACAGGGTCCTGCCCTCCTGGCGGGTCAAGGTGCATCCCCTGCCCCCATGACAGCTCAGCCCCCTCCCCCCAGTTCCCCAATACATGCAGCTTCAGGCTTGCTTTTCAAATCCACATTTCATTTACTTTGATGATGCAATTCTCCCGCAAAGGGAAGCATCTCCATCTCCATCTCTTTGGCAAAACAAATATTATCAAGCTCACAATTGACATTTTTTCCAGATTCAATATTTGCCTGGATCATTCCTCATCAAAGTTGTACGCTCTCAGTCTAGGAAACTAGCATTGCAGTAATTTTCACAGGGCAATTGAAGGCATAATTGCACATAATATATTGTGAATCTAGATGCCTGAAAAGAGAATTACAAGCAGCTGGGACACAATCTGGTCTTCTTGTTTATACTTGGGGTGGATTTTGCCAGCAGTGAGGCCATGGAAGAAAATGGCGAAGTTTGAGAGCAGTTTCTCCAAGGTTCAGTTTACATTTCAGTTTTGATTTCGGTATGCTCACCACGAAAACATGCATACTTGTACTTAATATGTTCTGTATTAGGGCTTGTTTTCATTTCACAGAAATGTCACTTGAATAGTACTTTCTACTGTGAAGCATAACTTATTTCCTTGTTGTGTGAGCCCTGGGGTGGCCATAACAAATTGCCACAAACTGGAGGGCTTGAAACAACCGAAATGTGCCTCTCACAGTTCTGGAGGCCAGAGTCTGAATCCAGGTGTGGGCAGGGCTCTTGGGGGGCCCCCTCCTGCCTCTTCCAGCTTCTGGTGGCCCCAGCTGTCCTTCAATTAAACAACGAAAAGGGACCAAATTTAGGCTTGTGACCAGGTGTCCGTCCCCAGCCTCCCCACCTCCACCGACCTTGGAAACCTGCACCTTCTACTTCCGTGCGCCCTTCAAGGAGCAGGGGAGAGGGGCTCGCATTCAGGGTGGACCCCTCCTCGTTTCTGCTTGTGGCAGTCGGGGAAGTGACACCCCACCGCAGCCATCAGGCTTCGTGGTCAGCAGGTCAGCCCTTCACTCTCCTCTCTCATCCACTGCCTAGCAGAGAGAAGGGTGTGATGGCCTGGCAGCAAGTCCTCCCAGGCCCGCAGCCCCTTGCAGAGGGACCGTCCCCTCAAGGCTTACCTGCTATGCCCTCGCCTGCTCCCCTGTGCACATCTGTCCCTGTTGTGCCCAGGGGGCTGGGTGACCAGCCATGGCCGAGCACATTCCTCCTTTCGGGGACTCGGCTCCACCGTCTCTGAATAAAAGTGTTGCTCCCAATTCTAGGGTCCTTTAAATTTCTAAAAATCTGTAAATAACAGAAACCGAGGACATCTATATGTTTTCAAGTTATTTTTTCTTTAATCCGTTGTTGCAACCTCCAGCTGCCACAGAGAATCTAGTGGTAGAACCAGGAAGGAGACCCTGCCCAGAGTCTTAGCTGAGTCAGCTCTGATCTTTATGCTCATGCAGGGAGGTGACAACATGTCCACTGGGGCCAGAGTACCGCCCACTATTTCCACAGACAGGCACCCGCTGGATGGCTGGTCCTTCATTCCCCACTGTCTGTCTCTGTGTTCTTTTCAGGAAAAGGCATCCTTTCAATCAGTGGCACAGGGACACAGCCTTGTTGCCAACACCAGGTACTAGCACTGATTGTGGTGCCTGAAACAGGTGATAAAGCAAATGGAATAAAGAGCAACAGGGCTTCCCTGGTGGCGCAGTGGTTGAGAGTCTGCCTGCCGATGCAGGGGACATGGGTTCGTGCCCCGGTCTGGGAAGATCCCACGTGCCGCGGAGCGGCTGGGCCCGTGAGCCATAGCCGCTGAGCCTGTGCGACTGGAGCCTGTGCTCTACAACAGAAGAGGCCACAACAGTGAGAGGCCCGCGTTCCGCAAAAAAAAAAAAGGGCAATGGAAGTACACCACTTCTCCATTGAATGGAAGTATAACTTTCCATTCTTTGCAAAGGAAAATTGGAAAGAAGCAGCCAACAATTCTACCAAGAAGCAAGTATACTTTTTATTGTTGAGAAACATTTTCTTAAACAACAGTGTTCACTTCACTCTTAGCTGAAACTTCAGGCTTTGAGTGACATTTTCTTGCCGATCTGGACCTGGTGTAACCGTGCTGTGGTATGTTCGCTGTAACTAGAGATATCTTTGGCATTTTCTTCCCTTAGCTTCATAACTCATGGAACATCTTGTACAAAAAAATGTAGATTTACAGAAAAATATGCATATAAATCACTTATTAATCCCAAAACGTAGTAAATAACATAGCAAAAACTCGATCAAATCCGTTTCATACACAAGCTGGACAGATCTGTTGTACCTTATCTCTAACTTATCTGTGGCATTTTATAAATTAGTGCTTTGACATTAAAAAGGTTTACAAAAAGGCCCTGCGTAATGTCAAAGACTCTAATTTCTCTCTCCATCCTTGCTTTTCATTCTCTAGAATTTATACTCATCACACACATGTCACCATTCTTATAAAAAGCACTTATTTTAAGAAAAAAATTGCACTGCAATCATGATCTAAGTAGCATTCAGAATTCCATGTTACCGAGAGAAGGTCATCCCTTTATAAACACACGTCTGAAACAAGAGCCCCACGCCTGTCCATGCAGACATGTCAGGTACGCAGGGTACCGGCCGCAGTTTCATTGCTCAGGGCCGCGTGGTCACTGTGACATTGGCGGGTGTCTGCATCCAGAGCGGCCTCCTGCCTCCCACCTGTGCCACTCCTCTGCCTTGCGCCCTCCTCAGGAGACTTTGCAGCTGTTTCTGGTGCAGCGTTTGGGGGGGCTCTGGGGAAGGTGGGCGGCCTTCGCTTTTCGGAGGCTGGTCCTCTTGTGGCTGGAGCTGGTGGCGAGGGAACAGGGGCGGCCGTGCATCACCCTGGCATTCAGGCCGCTGGCCATCGAGAAGGACTTGAGGTGGCTCCTGAGGGCCGTGGGCAGCGGCAGCCTGTCCACCAGGTGCACGGGCGTGCAGGACACCACTGCCCTGCAGCACAGGTCCTGCAAGCTCAGTACTTGGGAAAGAAAAGAAAACCGATTTCATTTGTGTTGTCCTGGGCACGGGGCCAACGCAGGGCCAGCCACACACCTGCCCGCCCTCCTCTCTGGGACTCTGGGGCAAGATGTCCCACCCTGTGCCCATGTGCAGTGATTGGAGATGGATGGTCCTGCTTTCATCACCTTAAATCCAGTTTGTCCCCAAACTTGAGACCCCCACCATCTCTCCCTCTAGGTCTGAGAGGTGAGTGGACTGCCCAGCGATGGCCAATGAGGTCTCCTCAGGACTAACGTGACCAACTTTTGGGGTCGGAGACCAAGGGCTTCAGGAGACGTGCTTCCCCAACTGAGTAGCTGACACCAAAAACGTGTGTTATCAGCTTTATAAAGACGTATTGGAGAACACACCAGAAAAGCAAATGCTGTCATTTATGTTTTACCTACATCGTTCATTCTGTGAGTCAGGGTCCCTGCTCAGATAGAGAGGGGCTCCCAGGGGCCTGCTGGGAGGAGGAACGGCATCTCACCCCTGATGCAGTCGGGACACCCCTCAACCCCTGGAGGATCAGACAGAAGAAACACGACCCAGGACTTTGGCTCCTTTTGGAATCAAGGTCCTAACAAATAATGTTCATAACAGTGCTTCTCAACTGGGGGCGATTTTGACTCCCCAGGACATTCAGCGAAGTCTGGAGACATTTGTGGTTTTCACAAATGGGGGCAGGGAGACCAGGGATGCAGCTCACCCACAGCACACACGGTGCCCCCACCAGAGGACACTCCATCCAAAATGGCACTAGTGCCAAGCGGCAGAAGCCCTGATTTAGGAGAATGGAGACAGTGGCCCGGGGAATGGGTCCTGGGAGGCTGAGCACTGGCGGGGCTGCAGGGTGGACTGGATGGACACCTACCCTTGCTTGGCCTCCAGAGCCGGTCCATCCCATGCCGCAGCAGCACAATCCTGGCCAGCTCCATAAAGGACTCAGTGACGTTGAAATTGCACAGCGGGCTGACCTCGAAGAATGTCACACCCAGGCGCTCCGCATAGGCCTGGGCCTGTTCCGTGGGGACCTGCCGCTTGAAAGCCAGGTGCAGGCGGTTCCCCACCAGGATTTTAGGGACCCCCGGGGCGTGCTAAAGGGTGACAGAAGGGCAAGGAAAGTGGGTCACGTGCAGGCTTTGTTGTTGGTACCATGGGTGTCCGGGGTGAATGGTGTCCACTCAGAACCTCAGAATGTGTCCTTTTTTGGAAAGAGGGTCTGTGCAGATGTAATTAATTAAGATGGGATCTTGGGGTGGACCCTAAATCCAGTCACTGTGTCCTTATAAGAAGTGGAGAGGACATAGGATACACAGGGAGGAGGCCACGTGATGGTAGAGCAGAGACAGAGTGACACATCCACAGGCCAAGGACCAGGGCCTGTCGGCAACACCAAAAACTGCAGGAGACGGGAAGGATCCTCCTCTCGAGTGTTTGGAGGGATCGCGGCCCTGCCAACACCTTGCTTTTGGACTCTGACCTCCAAAACTGAGAGAATACGTTTCTGTTGTTTTCAGCCACACAGTTTGTGGTGAGTTGTTATGGCCGCGCCAGGACACTCACTCAGTGGGTGGGACTGACCACTCCACGTCTCCACTGGCAGTTGGGCCGGTCAGGGTGCCAGCAGGCAGCAGCCTGGTCACCACCTATCAACCTACCTGACTGCATGCAGGGCCCGATCCTGTGCTGGGACACGATGTGTCCTCCTCCCTGTGGCTGGAGCCTCGTGCCCTGGCCGCCCCAGCCCCCCCACCCCCCTCACAGGGCCACATGGACGGAGCCCTGGCCATGTCATACCTCATTAATCTCCTTAATCCACCGGTCGATGCCATCAAAGGACCAGCGGTTTGCGATGTCGTAGACCAGGATCACACCCTGGGGGAGGCACAGTCACTTGTGGCAATGCAAGCCACTCAGGCACACGCTCACAACCAGCTAAATAGCCATTTTACTTATGTTAACACAAAACATATTATTTCGATTTGTCTGCCAAATGTAGCAGTTATATGATCACTTCCAGTGATATTTCATAAGCTCACTGATAAACCCTCAAATGTGAATGTGAGCTGGGGACTGGAATTCAATTCCCCACATTCATGAGCTGGTCCAGGGACACGGAATGCGGGGGGACTTCAGAGCCCACCCACCTGGACGGAGGGCTCTCACATACGTACAGACACACACGCACATGAACACGGTGCACACACAGCCCACATGCCTGCATATTTGTGTACACACACGTGTAGATGCACGTGCCTACACACTGCTCGTGCACACGTACATACAAGTGTAACACATGCACACACACATCCCTGATGCAGAGGGCTTGGGAGCCACCAAACAGTCCAGGGCAACACTTTTTAGACTCTGGCATCAACTTGTATGTGAGCTAATTGCCTTGTCCTCCAAGTATCCATTAAAGAACGTTCCAAGAGTCATTATTCAAAGTCAGTTTGAGGGACTTCCCTGGTGGTCCAGTGGGTAAAACTCCGTGCTCCCAATGCAGCGCCCCGGGTTCGATCCCTGGTCAGGGAACTAGATCCCACATGCATGCCTCAACTAAGAGTCCGCATGCTGCAACTAAGAAGCCTGCGTGCCACATCTAAGAAGCCTGCGTGCTGCAACTAAGAGCCAGAGCAGCCAAAATAAATAAATAAATAAAAAACAAAAAAGAAAAACAAAGTCAGTTTGACCTCCTGGTTCAGGGGTGTTACCTGTGCGCCCCGAGAGTAGGAGCGGAATATGGTACAAAATCTTCCCTGACCCGACGTATCCCTGGAAAAGATGTTGGAAGTCTGTAAGAAGAAATCACTGCTTCCCGACAACAAGGTTTTTGAACTCGGGAGCCAGAGCAAATGCATTTTACAATTGTCAGTTGGTGGCCATCCCACAGAAAGTCCGAGCCCCCAACAAGACATTGGGCACCTTATCCCTGGAGAGATCTGGACATTGGGATGTCCTTTTGGGCTCATTCTCTTTTCTAATTATTTAAAAAGTCAACTAGAGAAAATAGTGATGGGTTTCAACATAATAATTCTGACATTTCAATAAGTCTAATTTAAGTTTTTAAAAAGTTGTTTAATTTGGAGATAAAGCTGTGTAGTAAGGAATGTGAGTCTACACTGGGGGAGAAATAGGCCAAAGGATTTGGTGGGGTCACTCCACTTCCAATTAACTCTAAAAGATCATGGGAATCCCCTGGCCAGTCCAGTGGTTAGGACTCCTGGCTTTCACTGCCAAGGGCACGGTGGCTTCAGTCCCTGGTCAGGGAACTAAGATCCCACAAGCCGTGTGGGAGAGGCTTCCTGGCCCAGACTTGGGGGCTGACTGCTCCTGATTAGGGGCAGATGGGGGTGGGAGAAGGGGCTCCAGGCCACTGCAGACACTTGTGGCTTGGGGAGAGGTCTGGCATGGTCAGGCGGGAGAAGGGAACCATGCAAGTGACCATGCAGGTGGTCCAGGAGAGGGGATGACACAGGGGCTAGTGACAGTGGTCAGGAAAACCACATGGGCTGGAGGCAACTCAGGGATTAGTCACAGCAGGAAAACCCTAGTCCCCCATCCCCAGAACTGGAGGGGCAGGGGTGTGACCAGAGTCTCAGAGCCAGGGCTGCCTGGAGTGGGGACCAAGAAAGAGACCCAGGCCAGAGCTAGGCGACACCCTGACCTCTTGCCCTCCTACCCTCCACCCTCTGTCCTGTTGATCTTGGTCAGGACACACAGCCCCTCTGGGCACTAGAGAGGCAGAAGCAGAAGCACGTCCACATGCTCTGGACAGACTCCAAGGCCCACACAGATCTCATCTTCCTCGGGGGGCACTAGGTCAGGCTGGGGCAGAAGCAGTGGATATTCCCACAGGTGGTACCAGAGCCCCTGAGGGCCTGGACAGACCCGCCCTGTGCTCAGGGGCCGGGCAGAACCCCTGACTCACCAGAGCTGCAGCTTCACCCGCCGGCCGTCCAGCAGGATAGTGGTGGTCTTGTAGTCGATGCCTGTGAAAGAGGGTCAGGGTGGCTTAAAGCAAAGCACTTCCACAGTTATGCTCAGGTAAAAGGTGCAGATAAGAGAAACTCTCTCACGCTGGGGGAGAAAGGACTACCTACCGGTGCAGATCCAGGACTCACAGAGACGGCTGGACTGGGCCCTGCTCGGACCCTCCCCTCGCCCACCGGCCTCGCCCACTTGCTCTGTGGAGCGGGGCCTCCAACCTCCCTCCACTCCTCCCGCACCACCACTGCCTCCAGCTCAGCGCCCAGGCCCCCGCCGCTGCCCAAAGGGTGGGCAAGCAGGAGCCCCCTGAACCGTTCAGCAGCTGGCTCCACGCATGCCCTGCTGGCCCTGGGTTTGCCGAGTGGCAGCCACTCACACACCCTTGTCTCCGCTGGACTCAGGGCTAAAACACAGACATAGTTTCCCCCAAGTTATCACACCAAGAATTTAAAGTAAAAACGTGTAGAATATGAAATTAGGTATGAAGTATTATCTCAACTATGCAAAGACAAAATGTGTGTACGTATGTGCACAGGGGTGATGAAATAAAATTCATGTTTTATGGCAAGACAAGAAAAACTTAAACATAAAAAGGTTTTCTGCCCTTATGGGCCTCCTGGCTCCCCTTTAGTGTGTATTGTGCATCTGCATTGACCAGACCTCCTTAGGAGACAACATTCCTTCTTAATTTTGTAAACCGTCAGGATGACCTGCTTAGCACTTGATAACTCCTCAGGAGATAACCTTCCTTCCTAATGTTTAAGGGGTCACGATGACCCAGTTTTGTTTTGCAGGAGCAGACCTGGATTGTAGAAACTGTCAATATGTCATCTGATGTATATCCTTTTGTCTCAAAAACGTATATAATTGTACTTTGACCTCTGACAGTTTTCAGAGCTTTCTGAAAGACTGTCTCCCAGGTTATAATCCTCAGGTTGGTGCAAATAAAATTTTCCATTCCTTTCTTAGACCAACTATTGATTAATTTTTTCGTCAACATGCATGGCGTAGTTGGCAGGATATCAGAGACACCCACCAGAGGATACCTGGGGTCTACCCTAAACTGGTGCTCGGTACTAGCCCTTTGAGCCCCACCTGCTTCTTGGAACTCTTCAGGTGTTCCGGTGAGTTCTCCTGATGTCCAGATCTTATTATTTAAGTGATGACCCTACAAATTTTTTTCAAGCTTTTTTGTACTTAAGACTTGGAGTCTTAAGGGGCACCAGTGCATTTCCTTGGCAGGGTCCTAGGGGGATCTAGGCAGCAGGCCCCGGGAAACATAGGTGGCTGGAGTTTCGTTAAATTTAGCTTAAATTAAAAACGAACAAAACAAAAAAACAAGTTGATATATGGTCTGAGCAAATGGTTTGCCCAGTGAAACAAGAGACAGCTTGCTCAGCCCCAAGAACAAGGAACACCTGCTCCTTCTGGCCACAAGGTGTCCTCAGGTGACTGAGAACCTAGTGGAAGTGTCTGAGGATCAATTTTTCGGATGTGTAGCAGTACTACAGCAGATCCCACTACAACAATTAAGTAAATGCTGCTCTTCCAGGGACGCAGGAGATAAAGGCTGATCACCTAGTGCTCCAAGCACCCACAGCGGTTTTAGATTGTCAGAGGGAGAAACCAAGACATGTAAAAGAGCTGAACCGACCCTAGCGTAATTCCTTGGAGAGCTAGACTCAGAAGCAGCACCCACAACCATACTGTCCTCAGAAAGTTGTTCAGATCATATCTTTTCTCTGAATTAGGCAACCAAATTGATAATGGGAAATTGTGCTTCAAAGGTCAAACAGCTCCTGAATGGACAGCCACCTATGGGGATACCAGCTGGGTTTATATAGAGCTGATGCTTGCAAGTGCTTACCTAACTGGGAATCAAAGGAAATCCTGCCCTGAAATGACCAAGCTGGGATTCTTTTTTGGCATTCCAAACTGATTTTTCCGTGAACAGTCAGAAGAAGCCAGCAGAGGGTAATTTCTTACCATGTCAGTCAGTCTCCTGGACCCCTGCCCACAGGGTCTACTGGAAAAAAGAGTGATAAGAGCTTTTCTTTTTTCTAAAATTGGATTAGCAGCAGAAATTATTTGTAGGGCTATCTTCTTGGATCCTTTGAATTGGAAGGACTCCTAAATTGTAAAGCTCTCATCTTAAACTATTGTACCTATTTTAATTGGTATGCAAAAGCCCCAAAAGGCTTCAAAATTCCAAAATAGCCTCATTGAAGGATTTGTTGTAGAAGGCTAATGAAAGATTGATCATATAAAAGGTACCTACAATAAAAGACTATAAAACTGCCATAACTACTACTCCATCCTCCTTTTTTAAATTTTTATTCATTTATTTTTTTTTGGCTGCATTGGGTCTTCGTTGCTGGGCATGGGCTTTCTCTAGTTGTGGCGAGCTGGGACTACTCTGTTGCGGTGCGTGGGCTTCTCACTGCAGTGGCTTCTCTTGTTGCGGAGCACGGGCTCTAGGCGCACAGGCTTCAGTAGTTGTGGCACACGGGCTCAGTAGTTGTGACACACGGGCTCAGTAGTTGTGGCTCGCAGGCTCTAGAGTGCAGGCTCAGTAGTTGTGGCACACGAGGTTAGGTTACTCCACGGCATGTAGGATCTTCCCAGACCAGGGCTCAAACCCATGTCCCCTGCATTGGCAGGCAGATTCTTAACCACTGTGCCACCAGGGAAGTCCCTAAATGGTTATCTTTAGAAATGGGACCACCTGAGGTTATAGGTGAGCCTCTTGGGGTCAAAGGTTGAACTGAGGGCCATAGTTAAAGAATTTCTTAAACCCAGGGAAGATCATCAAAAGGTTTTGTAAATGGGTTACCAAGATGGGAGGCCACAGGTCTGTCTAAACCTGTGACCATAGCTGATATTCAGAGCCTGATAGAAAAAAAAAATTTTTTTTGGCCTTCTCCTCTAAGCTAAATGAAGGAAAGAAAAACATTCCCACAGAGGTGGATGAGTATGTGGGTACTTTGATATCATTTAGGTGGCCACCCAATTATCTGAGGAATTAAAAACAGCTGTCCTTGTTTTAGAACTCTAGTGTTTACAGGACCAAAGGTGTGGCTCCAGAAACAGCCCTAGGCCCACCAATCCTTTTACCACTCCCATAATCTCCCCTATTTATCTTAAGAGGCTGTAAGTAAAAAAAAAAATCTGGCTTTAAGGGAAGAAAGAAAATCCTCCTAGGACAACTTGCATTTTTCCTCCTCTGCCTTTGAGATAGAAATGTTCTACCCAGTCTTCTCCAGGAGCTCTTATGCAGGCCATCTTCTTTAATGCAAATTTCAGGAAGGTAACTCTTTTTTTTTTGAATATTAATTAATTTAATTTATTTTTGGCCACGTTGGGTCTTAGTTGCGGCACGTGGGATCTTCATTGGGGCAGGCGGGATTTGGTTGCGGTGTGCAGGCTCTTCGTTGTGGCGCGGGCTTCTCTCTCTAGTTGTGGCACACGGGTTTTCTCCCTCTAGTTGTGGCGCGTGGGCTTAGTTGCCGCGCATCATGTGAGATCTTAGTTCCCTTACCAGGGATTGAACCTGTTTCCCCTGCATTGGAAGGCAGATATTTTACCACTGGACCACCAGGGAAGTCCCTCAAGAAGGTAACTCTTATCCAAAGGAGAAAACAAAAGAGGGATAGGTAATTTGGAACCTGATTTGTCAAGGGCAATACAAATCTTAAATGTCTTTTCCATAAATATTAGTAAAAAGGATTTAGCCATCTAAACAGGTGAACTTGATTTGTTACATCTGCAAGAAACCCAATTTGAATCCAACATCTTTTGTAACTTACGTGTTTTACATTATTGTACATGATTCATGGTTGAAACTCTGGAATGGGAACTGGGGTCTCTGTTTGCGTCTGTGTGTTTGTATATATCTGTAAATGTGTGTGTTGTAGACGTGTGGCATTGCCAAAATTAATTTGTAAAAGAGCTCTTTAATTGGCTTAAAGGATAATAAGCACTTATACAAATACTCAGAAATATAAAAGGAATGAACCCAAATGAACTTCAGGATCACATGATCTAGGGTTAATTTTTAATGAATGAAAACAAGTTTGAGTTTATTGATTTAATTATAAAGGCATATCTTTGGGTTTTTTTGGCCACACCACGCGACATGCGGGATCTTAGGTCCCCGACAAGGGACTGAACTCGCCCCACTGCAGTGGAAGTGCAAAATCTTAGCCACTGGACCACCAGGGAAGCTCCAATACAGACATACCTTTAAAGTCATCAACATTAAGTATATACTACTTTGTATGTAGGTTTACCAGAAATCAAATAAGATTGTATAATTCCTGTCACAAAATTTGTCAACAAGAAAAATAACCTGATGTGATGAAACTTTCAAGCAAATTAAATGTAAACGAGATAAGAGCTTTCAGGTGAACTCTTTAGGAATAATTATGTTTTAGGACTGTCTACTTAAAAGTAGTTTCTCCAGATTTTTGGCAGTTTTGATTACACTTTATGTAACTTATAAAGTGATGGTTTCTTTCCTTTCACACTGTGTATCACCTACTCCTACTAAGATAATGATATCTAAACAAATTGAAACTATTGATCACATCTACAGTTCTCCATAAATTAATGAACGTCCATGATGCACATGCTTCCTCCCCAGGTGGAAATTAACCTTCACACAGAAGAATCAGGGATGCGGTGTACGTGGGGAGCAGCTCTGGGGAGAAGGAACAGTGGAGAGAGTCCAGAATGGCTCAGCCTCAGGATCTAGCCCGAAACCAGGCCCACCGCTCAACCTGTCGGTTACATAAGGCCACAAACTCCTTTTTGCTTAAGCTTCTTTGAGTTGACTTTTTTGTTTGCACCAAAAAATGCCCTGACAGAAAACCCATGAAGTACAGTGACTGGAGAGAGTGACAGAGGAAACCTGACACACAAATCCTGGAAAAGCTGCGGAAGACACATTTTAACATCTTCCCAAAGCAGAGCACAATGCCTCCCACACCCCAGAATTTCACTA